GGACCATCCCCACAAAGGGCCCCGTTCCTCTTAACCGATTTTTGACACCCCCTAGGTGTGGATCACTTCAATTCATCTGCTTCTCCACCTGCTCTAGTCACTCATCTCTATGCACCTACTCATTCAAGTGTCTGAGCTACCTGTTGTGTCCTCTTGGCTCATGAGTCAACCATAAAATTGCACCGATGTATTAGTCTCTCTACTAATGTCTCATGTAGGAAGGAGGCCCCTCGACTGACCCCTGGGCATGTCTCTCACAGGTCTCTAAGTCAGATTAGGAACCACAGATTCTCTGGCCAAGGTACTTACTCCCCCTAGTCTCTCCCATTCTCTTACTCAGCTCCTGGATGCCTCTGATCTGTCTCTCAGCTACCTCCTGAAGCTTACTCTGTCTCCCGCCTCCCCCTAAGGGCTGCTTTGACTCTGTCTCACTCACTGACTTGCTGGAGCCTGTTACTCTGTCTCTCTCAGGTCCTGGAGCCTACTCTGAGAAAGTCCCACAAGTATATCAGACAACTTCTCTATGCCTTCCTGGGCTCTACAGTGTTGGAGATATTCGAATTCTCACTCTGCCACAGTTCCTGTTTAAAATATTTTCCCCCAAGCCTCTCCCACCTCCTCTTCCCTGCTTGTTCTCACAGCTAGCTCCTGTCTCTAACCATAGGCTCTTCTCAATCAGAATTAAACTCCTCACCTACATTCCCTAATCTCTTTCCCTCCTCAGGCTCAGATTCCATTAAGGTACACTGCTTTACCATGAATGGCATAGCCTAAGTACAAACTAGATAACCTGTCTCAATGGTCAACAAAAAGAGGGGGAGGGGGTAGGCACACTCAGTTTCCAAATTCTCACAGATTGTAACAACTTCTGCCACCACATAGCAAATGATCCAAAAATCCCCTTATCTCTAAACCTTTCTCTACTCTCCACTCTAATATCTTAAGCCTTCTTTGCTCTCAGCTTCCTCTAGCTCTTCTTCACTGTTCACAAAATCCAGTCTTATTCAAATGTGTTTTGAGTGTAAATAACATTAAAATATGTCAAAAGCTGGCTTTTAAGATGGGTTATGGCCTACTCGCTCTAAACTTAAGCATGCTTGTTTTAAAGTTTCCTCCAAAGTCTCTGTCCTAAGTCAGGCAGGCCACCTGACTCTATAAAATGGAACAGCCCAGGAAAAGACCTTGTGCGCTTTAAAACAGCTAAAAATTAAACTGCTGCCAATGGGGATTATCTCATACTCCTCTTTCTTAGTTGTAACTCCATAAACATGGCCTTCTCTTACATCTCTAAAACTTTTGCTAAAGCATAAATAAAGTTTATCTCAAGATTTCTAAGACCACTGTGCAAACTTTCTGTCTCTCGAGTTCTATACACTCATTGAGTGTGGCTCAGAAAATGAAATCTGTAAATTCTGTAATAAAAAATTTAGATTAAAAGTTGAAATAAAAAGGATAAACAAATGCATATATAGGTAATCTTTCTGTTGTTTTGTTTTTGTTTTATTTTGTTGTTCGAGACAGGGTTTCTCTGTGTAATAGCTCTGACTATCCTAGAACTCGCTCTGTAGACCAGACTGGCCTCAAACTCACAGAGATCCACCTGCCTCTACCTCCAAGTACTGGGATTAAAGGTGTGTGTACCACCACAGCCCAGCTATACAGGCAATCTTTATTTGCTACAGCATGCTTGTATATAACTTATATTCAACTCTAGTTTAGGAAATGGAAGCTTTGTTTTGTTCACAAAAAGAACAGAAAATAGTGTGTGCCTGATGGGCTCACCTTGGACTAAATAGTAACTGAGTCATTTGCTGCCATCTTTGCTCATGAAGTAGCAACCATGTGGCTTGCCACCATCTTTGCTGATGATACCACCAGGATGGAAGCAACCATGAGGCTGGCAGCTATCTTTAGTTAGGTTAAAGAGACGGTACACCATGTGATTTCATCACCATCTTACTTAAGATGACCACGTGGCACATACGGAAGCACCCATAAAACAACTAGTCCTATTGAGCCCTATGATATCACTGCATCTTTGATTGATGCAAAAGATTGCAGTCCAAGGGGCAACAGGAAAAGAGAGTCTTCCACCCCTGGACCATTATCTTACCTACTTAGTAAAAGAGATGCAACCCACTTGTTCTTGGTCATGCCTAATTGCCCCTATGCCTGTTGGAATGGAATCTTTTACATAAACTGAGAATCATCATCACCTTCTCTGGTGATAAGTTATTAGACTCACCCAGCAAAATATCAGTATCTTGTCCTCTGTCATGAGTATCTCCTAACTGAAAGCCCTATCCTCAATCAAAAGATACAATTGGACTAGTTCTGAGATTTACAACAAAGATTCTCAGGGATATGAGCAACCATACTCCCTGGGACTGATCCAACACCAACTTCTTATAACTATTAAACTAACCAGTCCAGCTAGCCTGTCCAGATTAAACAATACCCAATAACCCTGAGAACAAAAAGGGATACTGCAGTCTGTATTTTCCAGCTTAGAGAAACAAGCATCCTGCTAGTCACCTTAAAATGTATCTCTCCTGCCTGTGAAGAAACCTGGGACCTCTGATGATAGACCCATCCAAGATCTGAGGAGGTAAATAAGAGGGTCAAGACCATCCATCCACCCATAGCCCCAAACCCACAAACTCTCATGTGTCTGAATCACTTAGAGAAACTGATATACACAGTCTTTGAACACAAATGATGCATTCTTTCCCCTCCCAGTGGCAGAGGTAAGTCAGCCCATCTTTGTTTTAGAATAGACAGACTGTGATGGTTTGAATAACCATAGGAGGTATGATCTCATTTGAAGTAGGTTGTGGACTTGTAGGGAGATGGAAAGGAGGTTTCAGAAGCTCAAGTAAGGCCCGGTGGCTCATTGTATCTTCCTGCAGTCTGAAGATCCAGATGTAGAGCTCTCAGCTATCTCTCCAGCACCATCATCTGCCTGTCTGCCACCATGCTTCATGCTGTGATGATAATGAACTAAACCGCTGAACTGGAAGCCAGCCCCAATTAGATGTTTTCCTTCATAGGAGTTGCCACGGTCATGGTGTCTCTTCACATGAATAGAAACTTAAACTAACACAGAGACCTAAAGGTTGTTCTAAGGATTTAAAAACTCCCCAACCATGTTTGAAGAAGACTAAGTCCTGACCTCCTGGGACCATACTCTTAAAATATGTAGATAACCTCCTCCTAACTTCTGAAAGAGAAACAGACTCTAAAAGGGGCACTGAGAAACCACTATAAGGATTATTAAGAGCTTGGGCTACAGAGCATTAGCTAAGATATCCCAGCTTTGTCTATTAGAGGCTACCTATCTCAGAAACCAGCTGAGGAGAAGTAAAAGAAGCCTGTCTCAAAGTAGGATTGCTGCCATGCTTCAGATCCCAACTCCAAAGACTAAGAGACAAGGTCAAGAGTTCATAGTGACTTCTGGATACCAGTGTTGAGGGAAGAGCAAGGCCTCCATACACCAGCATAAAGGGGAGCACTGAGCCTCTAATCTGGACTGAGACTGAACAAAAGGAATGTGGGGCTTTAAAAGCAGCTCTGACCTTGGCTCCAGCCCTAGCACTTCCAGATGTCTCAAACCCTTTTCATCTGTTTGTCCAGGAAACAAACTATATTATAAAGATGGTTTTAACCCAAACTTTGGGTCCGCAGAAATGCCCTGTTGGCATACTCTGATTAGACCTTGTAGCCACAGGATGGCACACCTGTTTAAGAGCTGTCACAGTGAAAGAAGCAAACAAGCTAACTCTTATCCTCACAGCACTCTATGGGGCTGAGGCCTTCTTTGGATGAACACCAAACCACTGGCTGTCAAATGCCTGTGTGGCCCAGTATCAGGCACTGCTCCTGAACCACCCAAGGACACTTTGAGAAACCAACCACCATCAATCCTGCTACCCTCATGCCTCAGTACAACTGTATATTTAAGGTATAAAGATGCAGTTTTATATGCCTTATGTTCAAAATTACTAGCTCCTTTTCTGTGCTCCAGTTACCTAATTTGATACCTGTGTAACTTCCCAGTAGTTCAAACCCTAATTTCTCAGAACAGAGTGAATAAAAACAAAATGGGAGGGTGTTCCCACATGAGATGTAACTTTGTTGAATAGGCAGTGCTTAGTCTTCAACAGTCAGAGAAATTCCAATATCACGTTACAGAACAAGGTACTCAATCCCTACCCAGGTTTTTATTCAGTGCATGTATCTCTACCCATTTCCTCGGGGTATCAATCCCTTAACACATTTTGGAAATATGGCTGTATAAAGAACTGGTTATCAAGTGGTGACCAGAACGGGAATGCACTGACAGTTACTGAGTACTGAGTAGAGAGCAAGAGAACTGCCAATGTTCTCTCCGGGACTAACAGTACAGCACCAAAGAACTGTCAGACCCACACATTTGTGTTGATGAGGCAGGAAGGCTTGCAGGAGAGCACAGCTTATTCCATGTGTGATCTGACCAGTAACATGGTAAAGATCCACATGGAATAAAGTCTCAAAACAGCAGCTTTTCTTTATCTTCCTCCATAATCCTTTGAATTTTTCTCAATGATAGCAAATGGAAAGTTTGAGATACTAATAGTTAAAGGTATAAGACGCCTCAGTAGAAAATAAGTGTTTAGTTAATGTCACTGGTAGATTTCTAGCACAGAAAGGTAAAATATTATAAGAAAACACTGAAAAAAAACTTTTAAAACTAATGATGAGGAGCTGGACAAATGGCTCAGAGGTTAATAGCAGTGGCTGCTCTTCCAACGTCCTGAGTTCATTTCCCAGCAACCACATGATGGCTCGTTACCACCTATATATGATGAAAATAGACGCCCTCTTCTGGTGTCCCGGAAAACATGCAGACAGAACACTATATATAATAAATAAATCTTTTTTAAAAATAAATAAAATCACTGATGAAAATGTTTACACACACACATACACACACATGCATGCATCAACGCACATGAACTTACTCCAGTAGGCTGAAAAATAAGTCCATCCATTTCATGGCTGACTTCTTTGGCAAAATTCCCTTCCAGGAGCTATAAAATAAGAATATATATTTAGAAATATAATGATAATTTAAAAATTATTTTAACTTCTTTTTAATAAGATTTATAAAATTTTCTGTAACATAAGAACTGAGAAACAGGAGAGAAGTAGAAACACTGGGATGCAGATATTGGATCTCTGTGATTTTGGGTCCTAATTTTGACTTCATCTTTGCTGGCATCTCATTTTCCAACATAAATAATTTCTTCAATGTGAAAGCAATTCATATTAGAGTTTGAACATGCTTATTTCCTTTAATGTTAATCAAGTCTTTTGCTATACTCAGTGACAGATAATCTAAGGAGGGGTAAGATGATACAGAGCAGTTTAAGAGTTTAGTTAAGCTTCAGAGTTGTTTCCTTTTGCTGGTGGTCTTGGTTTGTTGAGGCAGGACCCCATGAATCTCAGGCTGACCTCAAACTTTATTGCTCCTTCATCCCTGTCAGTGCTGTGATGAGAGGGGCACTGCATCACACCCAGCTGAGCTTCAATTCAGAAAGAGGGAGAAGTTCTGCAGACAGACAGCTGGTAATGACTACGCAATAATGCAAACGCACTTACTGTGACTGGACTTAATAGTTATAATATTAAGAAGGCAAATGTTACTACTATGTTCTTGACACTTCCCCCTGGCTTTCGTTTGTTTTCTTTCTCCACCATCAGCAAGTGAACAGAGTTGGCAAACTGAAATTCTCAGGCCAATATTACAAAGTGTGGCCAGATTTTAGGGCTGTTCAAAATTTATATATTTCTCCACAATTCTCTCACAGGTTTAGTGACATGAAAAGAAAATTCACCTAAATAAAAACTTAATCTGTTTTAAAATCTTTAACTTCCTATAAATAAAAGGGAAAAAGGCTCTGATGTGCCAAATATCACTTAACTTTCATTCTGGATATCACAATTTTTTTAAGTACATATGACATTCACGTTAGAGAAAAAAAATGAAAGTCATTTTCACACTAATCAACACTAGGTAGTAGACACATTGACTGAATGATTTAATTTATCAAAATATTTATAAATTAATGAGAAAAAGCTAAAACAAAAGTAAATATATAATTTTGCTAATCCCTATATCAAACCATGAGAAGTTGTCAATGTTCAGAACCTAAATAATGAACTTCTATGATTCTATGAATAAAAGAAATCAAAAGAAACATTTTAAAGCACTTAGAAATGAATAGTACAAAACCATGGTAGAATATTTGGCAGATTACATATCTAATTAGAAAGAAAGAGGGAGAGGAAGTGTCATGTAACAGTTTCCTTGAGATTAAAACATCCATTTTTGCAGGAAGTTCCTTAAGCAGGATGCTAAGTAACTCAAAATAGCTTCAGGAAGTCTCTGAAACTAATCAGATTCATTAGGCCCCTTCCTGTCACAGTACACAATAGAATCAAAGTTCTGTCCTGGCTCCCACACCCACCCTACCAACCCCCAGCCAGGACAGAAAAGGAAGTTGAGCTGCAAAGAAGACTCTTCAGACCAGATCAGCAGCCTGGAAGAAGCAGAAAGCAGCAGGCTGCCTAGGTTTAAACTGAGCCAGCCACCTGGGAAGGCCACTCCCCACCCTGTTCAGCCGCCTGCAGGCTGTGCAGTGCACTACAGGTTTCCCAGGCTTCATGAGCCATATCCATGCTAGAGTGGGCTTCAGTGAGACGGTTGTCTTTTGAATCATTTCTCCTCAAGACTCACGCATGCACACACGCAGGCAGTTACTATAACAAAAACTTCAAACTGGAGAAGATAGGTCAGACCAAACAGGATAAAGATACGTTCACTAAGGATGATGGGTGGTCTTTCAGAGTCAGGCAATCTCCACAAAAAGCGCCAAAATTAATAATGAGGAGCCAAACGATTAATAATTGTGAGGGTTTTTTTGGAGGGGGGATTCGAGACAGGGTTTCTCTGTGGCTTTGGAACCTGTCCTGGAACTAGCTCTTGTAGACCAGGCGGACCTCGAACTCACAGAGATACACCTGCCTCTGCCTCCCGAGTGCTGGGATTAAAGGCGTGCCACACCACCACCTGGCTAATAATTTAGATGACCGACTTGATTTAAAGCTACCTTTGTAATTTTTTTCTGACATTACATTCCTAAATGTTATTTTAAGTCAAACCTATTCATGAGTTATAATTGATGTGGGAGTGTCATATTATCAATCTGTTGCTTTCATTGGTTAATTAATAAAGAAACTGCATGGCCTGATAGGTTAGAACATAGGTGGGTGGAATAAACAGAACAGAATGCTGGGAGGAAGTAGGGCAGATGCCATGCCTCCCCTCTCCAGAGCAGAGGCGATGAAGCTCCAGCCCAAGATGGACATAAGCGAGAATCTTCCTGGTAAGATGGATTAGTCAAGATATGAGTTAGCCAGTAAGAGGCTAGAGCTAATGGGCCAAGCAGTGTTTAAATGAATACAATTTGTGTGTTGTTATTTCGGGTATAAAGCTAGCCGGTGGCCGGGAGCTGGGAGGCGGGAAGCGGCCCACAGCTCCTTCTACAAATAATGGTATCCAAACATAAAGCATACTAAGTTTTTGTGTGTGTGTATGTGCATGCACATACTTGATTTGATGTGCCTATGGAGGTCAAAGATCAACTTTATGAGGTATGTTCTCCTTTTCCACCTTCATAAGAGTTCTGGGATCCATGTCAGGTTGTCAGCAAGTACTTTACCGTCTGAGTCAAATCAATCCTTGTTCAGCTGTTGATCAGACTAGGAGACAGAGTATCCTAGCCTCCTAAGTAACATCAGAAGCTACATCAAAAAGTTTCACCAACATGACTGCCTAATCATGAGATGAACAAGAAAAATACCAACAAATATGCCAGACTGCATGGGGGAGGGAGAGAGCACAAGGCCTCAGCCCTACACAAAAAATACTATAGGCAACTGAGTAAACCTGCCAGTGGGAGAGGTGGTGCTCCCCAGGGAAGAGCACACCAATTGGTTGTCCAGTACCAAATGGTCAGCCCCGAAAACATACATATAAGTTACATTACATGGACTCATCAAGTTATTTTTAAGAGCTTATGTGGGTGTATACACACACACAAATACATATATGCATTCAATAACAACTGATGAAAGGATATACGGAATGGTTCAGAGGGAGAAAAGGGGAGGAAAGATTTTGCAATTAAAATATAATCCCAAAAATAAATAAAACTTTAATAAAGAATAATAGCCAAAGTATAACACCTCTCACCTGGAGTGAGAGGAATCAAGATAGACAGTGAGGCTGAAAATTAAATAATAAGAATAAGAAGTACCTAATAGTGTATAAAGAATCACCTCTTGATTAGGCATGGCACAACTATGAATAGTACATGTGTTTATACAGTATAACAATTCTTTTCCCCCAACCTAGTATTTTTATTATTTGTTTAGAAATTTCATACAATGCACTCCCATCACATTCACTTCCCAATCCTCCCAGGACCATCCTTCCACCCTTATGCCACCCTCCATTCCCCACCCCCACCAAAAAAAAGAAATTATGTTGACCATACACTCATTGGAACATAGTCAAACTCCTAGAGGCCTGCCCCTTAAAGAAAACTGAGTCCTTCCCCACCAGCCGCCTCCTGCAGGACGCCATCTGCGTAAAGAGCTACACTTCACCATCTTTATCACAATTTAAGGACTCTCCTCAATAACTTCCTCTTTGGATTCTTTTTTTCTTTCTTTTTTCTTTTCTGGGAGAGGGTTGGGGTTGTCACAAAAGCCTTCAATGTTTCTCATTCTCAGTTATAAGTCTGCAGTCACTGATAGCACTGCAAAAGCTGCCTTGCCCACAGCAGCTGGCAACAGCACAGATAGATCATGGACTTCCACACGGTTTCCAGAATTCTAAATACACTGAAAACTAAAAGGAGCTGTTACTTTTCTGACTCAATGCAAAAATGAGTAGAGATATTTCAACTAAACTTTTTGCTGTATGCTTTTAAAATTTTGTCAACTATATTTAATCAATCCAAATAATTCCATTTAAATTAGCCTTCAAACTGAAATGTAACTAGAATTACAGAACTCTCTACTTGTTATTGCTGTCATGAAAGTTATTTCTAACTATGTATATGAATCTAAATTCTGAACAGCTCATCATTCCTTAACTGTCTTGGCTGTATTAGATTAAACAGCATGAAGAGACTGTTAAAATAACAAGGTTAAATTCTCCCTTCCTTTTTTCTTCTTCCTCTTTCTCTCCTTTCTTTTTCCTTGTCTTTTTTTTCTCCTCTCTTCTTCCCGGGCTCATTCTAAATGACTCCGTGTGAGCTGATGAGAATACAAACGAATGATCACTAATCACAAAATGTTCTAATAAACAGTGAAGCAGCATGGTGTTGTATCCACAATGAGAACACTGCTGAAGAAGAGACCCTGAGCATCACCCTGGGAAAGACATCATCCCTGTTCCTCTCACAAGCTGAGCAATGGAACTTGAATTAACAACTAAAACAAAAAAAAAAAAACTTTACCTTTCTTGAAATGTTGATGTCAAAAAATGGTTTAGGTCTGACACTAAATGGTTCTTGTGTTTTGTCAATGAGCCCAGTCTTCATTTTTTCATGTCGTGGACTTATGATTTCACGCTCAATACACTGCAGTCGAATATTAAAATCACAATCTCCAACTGGTTGTGCCTGAATGAGAGAAGATTTTTTATCTGAACACTAATAACTACATTATCAGCATTACTGTCAAGGCTGCAATACTATACACAAACTATGCAATGTACAAATAGGAATCTTTGGAGATGTCTAGTGAACAACTTACACACAATACATGTCCATTCCAATAATTAGGATAACAATTGCTATTTTTAAATTGTAATTACATACAGCAGCAGAATAAAATGGCATATACCTGTTATAAGCTGGTGCAGATGTCAAAGCAGTAGAAGCACTGAGAACTAATAGCAAGACTCATTCAAAGCACTGTGTTGGGCTCCTTTTCAGCAGTCCCTCCTCACTTCCAAATATTGCCCACACTGGCAATGAAGTCCTTTCAAAGGAGTAAAAATGCTACCCCACCATCACCATACCTGAAACCCTCAAGTGATAACAGCCTGTTACATTAAAATCTAAGTTCAAATACCTTATTTAAGTAACCTGTCACCTTCTTCAACCTACTATGTGATCCACTCCTCAGCACACATCAAGCATGGAGACAACCGTCTAATGTTCCTGACTCATCCTTCAAGGACTTAGTAACAGCCAGGGAGGATGAAGTGTGCCCATCCCACCAGCTCCACTCTACCTCTGACAAACCTTCTTGTGCTACTTTGAGCACTACCATGCTGTTTCTGTTTCTTTACTTTAAAAACAAAAAACAAAAATAAATAAACAAACAGGGTCTCACTGTATAGCTCTGGCTGGCCAGGAACCTGCTATAAAGACCAGACTGGCTCTATCTTTCAAGTGTGAGGTTTAAAACTGTAAGCCACCATGCCAAGCCAGATTTCTTTACTTTTCTATTCACCTCTACAGATAAGCAGTCTGCAAGTTGATTTCAATATTAAATCCAATCTAAACACATATTCCAACATGTAAACAATGTATGCCATTACTACTATCAACTTATATGCAGGTACAACTGTATAAGGCAAACCAAACAGAATAAATGCATTAAGAATAATTTTCCTCAGGTAGGCGGTAGTGGTGCACACCATCCCAGCACTCGGGAGGCAGAGGCAGGTGGATCTCTGTGAGTTTGAGGCCAGCCTGGTCTACAGAGCTAGTTCCAGGACGGCTAAGACTGTTACACAGAGAAACCCTGTATCAAAAAATCAAAATAATAATAATAATAATAATAATAATAATAAATTTTCCTCTGTTGTTCTCAAATTCAAATGAACTGTTATGAAATGATATGAAGGTAAGAAATCAGAAATCAGTTTATTTCTTTATATTCAATAACTACAGAATCTAGCATAAATAAAATGATCAGTTAAATTCTTCCTGAAGAAAATAATAAACAAAAGAACCAAAAAGATTTTAATTAAGACTCCGGCTTTCTAACCATAATAACCGGAGCCAAACTTACTGACATTACAAATTACCCAGCCTCAGGTATTTGGAGGCTAGCAATATAAATGAAGACTAATAAAGCAGGGAAAGTTCTATAGTGGTTAAATAGTAGAACATGTAGTAAGTATGTGAAAAATATGAGACTTTAAATCATGAGGTACAGTAATAGGCATATAATTCCAAAATCATAAAATACTCTCAGTATGGTTTAAGTAATGACTATATGATTTTTGTTTCTTCAAGACAGGTGGCATCCTGGGGAGGCACCAAACTCCTGCTTCTCCTTGCTCCCTCCTCTAGGCTCTGTGTCACCATATCTGACTTAAATAATTTTTTTTGTTTACTAAAAACATTTGTAATTTTATTAGTGCAAGTGTAGCTCAATGGTAGAGCACTTGCCTAGCACATGTGAATCTATGAATTCAATCCCTAGAACTACAAAAGCTATTAATATATATAAACATACACATTATCTCAGTGACATTTCTAATACTTTCATAAATTAGAAAAAATACTTACATTGAATTTAATTATGTCATATATCAGATATCTTGGAACAGCCTGTCCATTTACTTTGTCAATGATCATTTCCTTGAAAGAAACAAAGATTAATCTTTACTTTAATAGCAAATTCTTTAATTTTGAGAATATAATACAAAAAGAATCTAAATCTTCAATGTATGTCTTAATAAGATTTCAAAGGTAGTACACTTGTACTCACATCAAATCATCCTAAATTTTCATCATGTCAAAAATCTTAACTATGTATTATATGTTGAAATTATCTCCTTGTGTTTTGGGTTGGGGTGTGTAGATGTATTTGCAGACAGGTTCTTTCTACATAGCCCCTGGCTAGGCTACAGCTCATAAGTAGTCAGGGTTAGTCTAGAACTCTCAGAAAGCCTCTGCCCCAGCCTTCAAAGCACTAAATTACACTTGCACCATCACAACCAGTTATATGTCTTTCTACACTTGCATGGCTACAACACACTCTGCTTTATGTTTGAATTACCAACAATATTTAAGAGTAAATAACAAAGTTTGAAATTCAGCATCATTTTGCAGTATTTTGGATAAAATCAGGCAAGGTCTTGCTCATGATAAACAAGTATACTACAGCCCCAGTCTCAAATTTGTTATTTTAACTGAACTGAGTTTATTTAACCATTTGCATTTGAATGCCTGGTGCAATAACAAGGTGGCACCAAGATTTCAGTTAAAGGTTCTTTTCAAAAACTAGGACTAGAAAAAGTGAATTTTTAAGTTGGACAGCAAGGAATTCCCCCTTCCAAATTATCTGATAAAATGAGAAAATAAATAAATAAATGCTTTCCTTTAAACATTGGTTTAAAAAGCAAAACGAAAGTGTATTATCAACAAACAAAATGTAATAAACAAATGAGCAAGTGTTTTTTGTCTGTTTCTTTAATGACAGTTCAAAATACATAATACATTCTGGTAATAGCACAGGGAAAACTTAAGATAACTGACATTCAAACACATTACCAGGCATGCAATATAAGCCAAACAAAACAGACTCAAAGCTGGCAGAGGTAATAAAAGTTAGTAGATCAAAACACTAAGTCAACTTCATTCATATATAGCTGTTTTGCTATTTAGGATTAGAGAGATGATTAGAAAGGTATAACACAAATAATCAAAGAAATTCAACAGGAAAACAGTACAAAAATATGGTTAGAATTAATAGCAACTTAGCGAAGAAAACTCACTAAACTTGAAAATATAGAAAGAGACTACTATACAGACCAGAGACCTGGGGGTGAGGAGGGGACAATGAAACAATTCCTAATAATATTCGACTATACACATAAATCAATGCCTTTTCTAGTCATCAGAGAGGCTTCCTCCAGCAGCAGAGGGGTGTGCGTGCAGAAACCCACAGTCAAACATTATGTGGAAAGAGTCTAAACTGGAGGTCTCTAAGGAGTCTCTTTCTGGGGAAGAACGGGAGAAAAGACTGAAGGAGTCAGAGGGAATAGGGAATGCCAGGAGAACATGGGGCTCTGAATCAAGTAAGTAAGACTCATATGAAATATGATCTCTCACTGAACTGTAGCTAGGTCAGCTGCCAGCAAGCAAGCCCTAGTAATCTTATGTCCCTGCTCTCCACAGCCCTATAGTTATAAGCACTCAGTCACAGCTAGCTTCACATGGGTATTTGAGATACAGACTCAGGTCTTTAATCTTGCACAGCAAGCATCTCTCTAGGCCCCACATCGTCCATCTTTAATCCAAACTCCTATATAAAGAATATCCACTCCACATCATTAAATGAGAATTATTTCTCCTCCAAATGACCACAAGACTTGTTTTAAGTATAGTTTTAATTAAAGGTACCCCCGACTGTTATCAATCTTTGTCTATCCTTCCCAATAGTTTCCAGAGAGAGGAGGCTTCCATACTCTAAGCAATGCCTGCACTCCACTCATAAGAGATACTCAACAAATACTAGTTAAATATAAACTACCCCAACCTATAAGAAATACTCTTTTAATTTAAAAGTATTTCATCCTCTTTATCCCTGTGCAGGAGATCAACATTAGGAACAGTAGCAACCAAGAAAGTAAAAGGTCTGAATATAACCCTCACAGAATTTTTCTGAACAAAAAAAAGCTTAGGCTTACTGCCACCTAGACTGCAGCGGTCGGATTAATAATCACCAAAAGTATTAGGTATTTGAACAAGTTTAATAACAAAACCAGACTCACGAAACCAAGGTCCCAGCGGAGTAGCCGGCGGAGACAGGAGAGGAAGGGAAGGGGCGCGCAGCCTCTGCCCGCCCAATATATCAGTAAACATACGCCCGAGGGCAGCCCGCCCCCAAGGGGAGGGCTTATCCCTACACTAGACAGCACACGGTGTTTAACACAGCAGTCTAGTCTCTTTGTTATGCATAGTTGGTTCACTCAAAAAACAAAGGAGTAAAATCTCAGTAGCCAACAGAAGTACATCCAGAAGACTGGATCTACGCTAGGCTTCTCCAGTCCTGAGATAAACTCTCAGGATTAAAAGAATCTACAACTATCACTAGATGAATCAAAAATTAATAGAATAAGGAAATGAATCAAGAATGCTACAACGATAGCCAGGTATTGTCATACACACTATAATCTCAGCACTTGGGAGACAGAGGCAGGATCTCAGATTTGAGGGCAGCCTGGGCTACAGAGCAAGACCCTGTGAAAGGAAGGAAGGAAAAAATAGAAGGGAGAAAGGGGGGAGATGTTCGGGTAACAGTGGAATCTAGCATATAAAAATTTATACTTCCAACCAAAAGGGGGAAACAGAGCAGTTAAGTGGTTTTGACAGTCTAGACATTTAAAAATAAGAAAATAGCACCTGCACCTTACTATCAAGAGATATTTGGGCTGGAGGAAATATCCAAATATGTAAAGAAAACACAAAAAGAAATACAGGTATTGTGATCATCCTGACATGAACAGTGTCTTGAAATGTGAAAAGGCTGAGAGTAAGCACCAAGATCTTTACATTTGATCTACATATATTTAAACTTTTGTATAGTACATGAAATGACAAAAAAAAAAAAAAACATAACCTTCAACTATGTAACAAAATATGCTCCAGTAAGACAAAAGACCTCATAAGCTGATAGGAGAGAAATGAATACCCAAAAGGAAACAGTAGAAATGTTCTGAACAGGGGCTCTCAGAATCAAAATCCTAACTCACAAAGAAGTGAGATGTTAAGCCTCATAATGACTCACATAAAGGAGGACTAAGAATCAGACACTACCAAATCACCTTACAAACTTTCCCAATCTTCTCCAGGTCACCACAGAGAAGAAAACCTAGTGAACAGTGTAAGTCACTCAGAATAACTGATGAAGCCAGGGAGGCAGCTGCAGTGAAGGTTTCATTGCTATTCACACTATTTTTGAATACAGAAATCACTCTGACCCTCTTAAGTGAGAAAATCTCAAATCAAACTTCAGTGTTAACACAGTGTGACAATGCCTAGAGCTAATCTAGACAACCTGAATTCAATTTCTGCGACCCAAATCAAAGGGTAACCAACTCCTACCAACTCCTATTTGTCTTCGACTTCCATTCACAAGCCATGAAATGCACATACCTACACACACACAATAGATAAAAAGCAATTAATGGGGGATGGAGAGATGGCTCAGAGGTTAAGAGCATTGTCTGCTCTTCCAAAGGTCCTGAGTTCAAATCCCAGCAACCACATGGTGGCTCACAACCATTTGTAATGAGGTCTGGTGTCCTCTTCTGGCCTGCAGGCATACACAGACAGAATATTGTATGCATAATAAATATTAAAAAAAATACTCTGTGTTTAAAAAAAGCAATTAAAATGTACTATTAGAAAAAGGACTCTAGGGCTGGAGAGATGGCTCAGCCGTTAAAGGCTAGGCTCACCACCAAAAATATAAGAAAAAGGACTCTATCATAAAACCATACAATTTTGACATACAAGATATACATTTATGATTAGAAAAAAATCTAAAACAAAAACTGTAATGTCCACCAAAATCTCTTGGTCACTTATATAGATCCTTTCACTTTGGAGACTGCAATTTAGGACATCTAGAACCAGCTGTTAGAATAGAGAGGTGTGTGTGTGTGTGTGTGTGTGTGTGTGTGTGTAATTATATTCATTTATATGTGGGGAGGATTGTATGCATACTATGCCACATGTGTGGAGGTCAGAACAAACTGCATGAGTCAGTTCCCTCCAACCAAATGGAGGAAAACAACTCATCAAACTCGCAGCAAGAGTCTTTATTCACTGGCAATCAACAACAACCCTCAGTTTGATACTTTTCAGACAGGTTCACTACGTAGCCCAGGCTGGTCTTGAAGTTAACAATCTCTTGACTAAGCTTGTTGAGTTTTGGGATTAAAGGTATCCACACCATACCTAGCTGGAAAGAACCATATACTTTCTTGTTGCTGCTGCTACTGTTGTTGTTTACATAATATATAAACATACTAAAATATGTACAAGACTTAAATATTATCACAAGAAAGCCTACTGTAGTCAATAAGAAATACAAACACCAATTGATCTAAATAATCAAATAAATTTACAGAAAAATATTTTTTAAAATTAAACCTAGAATTTGTCTAAATTATTAGTTCTTAACAAGAACTTTTTCATTTTGCATCTTACTTAATTTCTATTATTATTGTGTATGTGCATGATATGCATGTGAGAGCTCACGGGCCACAGTATGTGTGGAAATCAGAGGACAGCTTTGTAAAGGAAGTTGTCTCCTTCCACCTTCCATAGGTTTTGGGGATTAAACTCAGGTCACTAGACCTACACAGAAAGCACCTTTACCCACTAAGCAATCTTGCCCACCAATTACTAAGTAATTTTTAACCCTATGATTTCTGCCATTAAAACAGTTTGGAATAACTGAACAGCAGATTCAGTGTTGAAGAGCACAGATTGTTCTTTCAGAAGATCCCAAATTGGCCGCCAGTATTCAATATGTTAGCTCACAATCATCTGGGACTCCAGTCCCACAGAATCTAAAAAAAGTTTGGAAATCCAAATTTATGATATTTATATATATATATATAGGTACACCACTCCGATCTTTATATAAAATAATAAGCCCAAAACATACTGCAAGTAAAAATTACTTTAAAAATCATGTACAGCATTTAGTTCTTTGTGAAGATGAAGCAATCAAGGAATGATCTACAGGTGCACATACTTGATCGGAGCACTCCTTTTTCCAGCCAAGGTAAAGATTTTGTTGAATATTCAAACTCTGAGACTTAATTAGGCCCCTAGCTTCCCTAAAGCTTCAAACAAACTGTTTAAGAGTCTATTCCCTAGCTGGCAGTGATGATGCAAGCCTTTAATCACAGCATTCAAGAGGCAGAAGCAGGCAGATCTCTGAGTTCGAGGCTAGCCTGGTCTACGGAATAAGTTCTGGAACAATCAGAGCTACACAGAGAAACTCTGTCTTGGAAGAAAAAAAAAAAAGAATCTATACTCTAAAAACCAGCTGTGGTGGTACACATGCATAATCCCACCACTTGCAGGCACAGGAGGTTCTTGAACTCACAAACCTTGAATACTAAACTATCTATAAAACAGCCAATATTAAAAAAAAAAAAAGAAGAAGAAGAGGAAGGAAGGAAAGAAGGAAGGAAGGAAGGAAGGAAGGAAGGAAGGAAGGAAGGAAGGAAGGAAGGAAGGAAGGAAGGAAGTGATGTGGGAGTGTCATATATCAATCTGTTGATTTCATTGGTTAAGTTATAATAAACCAGCTGCTTGGCCTCATGGCTTGGAACATAGATGGGAGGAGTAAACAGAATAGAATTCTGGGCGGAAGAGGAAGTGAGGTCAGACTCTGCTCTGCTCCCAGAGAGACGCCATGCTCAGCTCTCCTGGATAGACGCAACGATGGATGGAGGCTAGAATCTTCCCGGTAAGCGCACCTTGGGGTGCTGACAAACATCATTAGAAATGGGCTAGTCCAGGTGCGAGAATTAGCCTGTAAGGGCTAGAGTTCATGGGCCAAGCAGTTCTTAAATGAATACAGTTTGCGTGTTGTTATTTCGGGCATGAGCTAGCCAAGCGGCCGGGGTGTTAGGGACGCAGCCCCGCCGCCGCTTCTTATTACAACAAGGAAGGAAGGAAGGAAAGTTCAGTTCTCAAAGCTGATGTTACTCATATGAATGTGCTCTATTTTTTCAACACTGAACAAAGGACACAGTTAAAGCCATCAAAATAGCAGCATAAATTATTCCACCATTAGAAGCTTCAGTGGTCTTTTTATTTTTATTTGCTTTTCCTTTGTTTGGCTTATTTGCTTTTGATTTTTTTAGAGACAGTCTTACTATGAAACCAGACTGGCCTGGAACTTAATATAAAACCCAGGCTGACCTTGCATTCATACACCCCTGTCTCAGCTTTCCAAGTGCCGAGATTAAAGTATGTGCCACCATGCTCAGCTTTTATTACCAGGTTTTTTTGTTGTGTTATGCATTATTTTAATTTTTATTTAAAGTATGTTTTCTTTTCCTAAGAACTGAGTTGGAGAAAGCTATTTGCAGGAAGAAAGTGAAAAATCACTTGATAATTACAACCACTTTTTAATAATAAAAACAAAGATTTTTTTATTTTGTTCCTTTAAGATTAATGCCAGATTTATTAACTGATTTCCCATCTCATGAACATTTTTTTCTACTAAAAAAAAATTTGAAAAATGCTATTTAATCTCCAAGATGAGTATTTGAGGTCTGTTTGTTTTGTTTTTGAGACCAGGATCTCATTATGCTAGCCTCTGATAACCTTGAATTTGCTGCTGCAATCCTTCTGCTTCTGGCACCCAAGTGCTGGGATCATACAAGTGCACTTCCATTCTCAGGTAAATACATCTTTTTTTTTTTTTTTTCTCCCCTGATTTTTTCGAGACAGGGGTTCTCTGTAGCTTTGGAGCCTGTCCTGGAACTCACTTTGTAGATCAGGATGAGCTCAAACTCTGAGAGAGCCTCCTGTCTCTGCCTCCCAAATGCTGGGATTAAAGACATGCACCACCACCCAGCTCTAGATCCATCTGTTAAGGAATTCGTTTACTTTACGTACAGGTAAGAAATAAAATTGAAACATTCAAATAAAAATTACATTTGGTTCTAAATCAAACATACTAATAATGACTGCACTAGTCAATTTTAAAAAATACACAAAAGTAAATTACTTACCCCATCTAAAAGTGTATTTGATAAATGCATGCGAAGATCTTTACGAAATGGAAATTCCAGATTTGAAACATGAAACACTGAATTATCTCTGTCAATCATGAAAACTTCATTTGTGCCATCGATCAACATCATATAACTAAAATAAAACATTTTTTAAAAAGTATTAACATATGGTTTCAAGAACAAGGTTATCAGAACAGTTGAACTTTTTTTTCCCTAGGCTGACAACATTTTCATAGAATGATTACTACAGTTCCTCTCTTGATCATGAAAATTAAAAGAACCACATTATTTTTTGTTTTAATTTCTATAGAAAACATAAAAACAAGGAAATCTAATTTTTATGAAGACAATATGGTATCAAGAATGCATATATGATGTATAAAAAGAAATGTTTCTCTAATTTTGATTAATTATATCAAAAAATTTCAAAGTTTAAAAACACACAAATATGTACTGTATTTTACAAATTGGATACTACCTTTTCCATATCAAAGGTGATAAAACACTGAGTTCAAATTATTCAATATTCTTTCTACCATGCCAACTGCACAAGTATTTTTCTTTGAATCAATACTGGTGTAAGCAAAATACTAGAATATTAGAATTCTTCTCATTTATAACTACAAAATTAAAATATTCAGCTACAATTTTTCATTGACTTTTATCTCCAATCAATATATGGGGGAATTTATGTACTGAATAAAGCAGTCATACTTCATAAGTCAGGTTAAATCTATGGTGTCTGCATATCAAGCATGGAGCTCCAACAAAGGCATGGAGCTCACACTTATAATCCCATGGTTTAGCCACGCATAGTGATCCCAGCACTCGGGAGGCAGACACAGGCAGATCTCTGAGTTAGAGGCCAGCCTGGTCTACAGAGCAAGTTCCAGGACAGCCAGCATAACAGAAAAACAATCCTCCACATACATCACAAATAAACACTTGTACATACAAATAAGAACAGTGCTCAAATTTCACAACACAGAAAAATAAAGTCCAGGATGAGGAAGTAGGAAGATCAAGAGTTGAAGGTTTCTCTAAGTTACATACCAATATCCTGGCAAAAACAAAGTTCAGTCAAGCTATTTGTGTATGATATCAGAAAGGGTAAACTAGAGAGTGCAGCTCAGTTGGTAGAATATTTGCTTGGAATACCCGAAGTCCTAGCACAGAAACCCTGAATGGTGGCAGGGTCTTGTAATCTGAGCACATGGAAGATGAAAGGAAGCAAGATGATCAGACGTTTAAGGTCAACTTTGGTTGCAAAGTGATTTCGAGGGGACACAAATGTGGAAGAATATTCAAGATATGACACATAAAGTGGAGGAAAACAACGATCCATACAACCACCTCCCCAGAGAACAGTGTGTCAGCAACAAGTAAAAGATGGAGGGCAAGCAAACTAAAATCAGGTGACAGAAGAGACATTAAATGAACAGATAGCAGCTAACACAATAATTTGTCTATCGTATGTAGAAACAGAAAAACTGACTAAAGTGAAAGAACGCAAACAACAGGGAAAAGAGCAGCAGTGAACATCCCAGGGGCTTCTATCTGAGGGCTAGCATGGTATCCCTTGCTGCTCCTAAAGGAAGTATTCCAGCTGGCCCTGAGACAGACTGTTCAGACCCATGTCTCATTTGGAAGTAATAGCAGCCCTAATAGACGAAAAGGACAGAAACTCAGTCTCACTAAGAAAAAAAATCAATTAGTCTGGAAAGAAAACTCATGGACCAAATACTAATCCAGCAGGCTCAAAAGTAACAGGAATACTTAAAACTCAGGCACTCTTGCATATGCTTCCAGATATATATGAAAATACTAGGCTTCTTACAAGAAATAAGAAATGTTCTGGACTATGTTCCATAAAAAATTTAAATCAACATATAATGTCAAATAAAAAGCAATTATGACACTGTCTACAAATATGTTATAGAAGATAAACAATCCATTGTCTTTGAGGACTTGAGCCAGTATTTAATAAAAGGTGTTAATGGAAAACACTGTATTGTTCTCTTAGAAGTCAAGATACGCATACATATTAGGGTATTTTAAACCATAGGTAAGGTGTAGTAATATGTAGTACCAGCCCTCAGAGATACTGCAGGAGCAGAAGATTCTGAAGTTCCAGGCAAGCTTCAGTTATATAGCCCAAGAGTCAGTATCAAAAAATAAAACAGGCGAAGAGATAGCGCAAATGTTTAGAGCACTTGTTGCTCTGGCAGAGAACAGGGGTTTGATTCTCAAACCCAGATGATAGCTCACTACCATCTGCAACATTCAATACCAGGGAACCCAATGCCCTCTTCTGAACTCCCTAGACGCCAAGTAATATTATACATAAACATAAGCAAAACAAACATAAAATATATACAAAATAAAAATTTTAAATCTAAAAACAAAAATCTTTTTAAAAGAAATTAAAATCATGAGAAAACATATAAGTGTATCTGTCTTATTGAGCCTCAGATTTCTAAACCTGAAAGAAATGGTTTGCCTCTTCTGAGTGTAAGACAGACACTGTATTTCTCTTTACTTGTTAATCAGAAATTAAGAATTGAATTAATATAAAATAAACATTAATTTCTAGAGTAGTGATATACTAACTTGATAGATACATACATACAAATACACACACAAAGTTATATACCTATCTTATGAGCTCATCAATTTAAAAAAAAATACTGCAGGGGCTTAAGAGATGGCTCAGTGATTAAAAACACTGACTTGTTCTTCTAAAAAACAAGGGTTCAAATCCAGTGCCCACATGGTGGCTCATAACCATCTGGAACTGTAATTCCAAAGGATCCCCAATGATTGTTCTGATCTCCATAGATACTGCAGGAACACAGTGCACACACATGATGTAAGCAAAAAGATAAAAAATAAAAATATCATATACATAAAATAAAATACTCTGTACCCATGCATATTAATAGGTTTAAAAGACCAAAAACAAAAAGGCTTTGGAGGATAGAATTTACTACATAGTACTGCTTATGTGAAAAACAACTGTATCTAAAGAGTTAGCAAAAAAAAAAAAAAAAAATACTCATTGCTATTCAGGGATTCCTCTACATGTATTATTAGCACTTGGGTTTTGAAACAAATTGCTGAAGTACAATTTCTGGCCTATATCCTAATCACTTCAAATGATACATCCTTCTATTACATGGTACTTATTGGAAGAAATGACCAGGGCTAAGAATACACATCAGTGGTAGAACACATGTCTAGCATGTGCAAGGCCCTGCTAGCAGATGCAGCACCAAAAATAACTGAATAATGAGTTGTCTCATGTCAGGAACAAAGGTTAAAGACGACAGAAAGAATTCTCACACATGAAAGTAAACCAGATTATTTCTGAAAGAGACAACTACCTCACACACTGCTAAATTTTGGCTCAGTACCTAAGTACAGATCTTCCTTTACTGACAATGAACCACTAGGGTAATATAATTTCTCTTTAGAAGATTACATCAATTACAAATATAATATTCAGAATTATTCGTGATCATATGCATTCTCATTAAGGCATAAAGTTTCACTGAAACCTTTTCATTTCCTGCCAAGCTTTTTGTTGCTTGTTTGTTGTTTAACAGATCTTACTGTGTAGCCCAGGCTGAGCTCAGGCTCAAGATTTCCAAATTGCATTATCACAAGAAAGCCTCCCCGCCCATGATTGGGACCACAAACATTCATCACCACATCTAGACCTGAAGTGTTCCTGCTATAAAGGTACACGCAGTTATTATAGATTATAGGAAAGCCAGATTGATACAATGTTTTACCATAAATGTAAGCTTTCCAGCTGACCTAGAAACAATCCAATTTTATCTTTTTCATCATTGAGGTTATATGGTCAAGTAAAATCCGCAAAATATGCTTTAGTAAAAATGAGGAAGTACAGAGAAGAGGACCAACAGACAAAACTGTAAGCAATAGAACATTAATGTCTTAATTCACATTCCAACCAGTGCTTTAAAGGGAAAACAATGCTGACTTTCATGTCACCAATTCACAACTCTGATGATAAATTTACATTTCAAAAACTTATTTTAGAGCCGGGCGATGGTGGCGCACGCCTTTAATCCCAGCACTTGGGAGGCAGAGGCAGGCGGATCTCTGTGAGTTCGAGGCCATCCTGGTCTACAAGAGCTAGTTCCAGGACAGGCTCCAAAACCACAGAGAAACCCTGTCTCGGGAGAAAAAAAAAAAAAAAAACCCACACCTTATTTTAGGTTTTGAATGCAAAAATCTATTTGTTCTTTATAGACCAGGTCTATTTAAATCACACAGGACACTCAATAAATGCTCAAGCAATTATATACAAGGAAGTTCACCAAACTACTTTGTACTGACAAAAATCAATATTCATACCTGAACAAATATAGTATCCCATTATTTTAAAACATAAAAGCATCCATTAATATGGAAATGCCCTCCCTTGTAGAACTCTATCCATGTCCTTTTTAACCCAAAAATTTTTAGAGTCTTCCCAACTTTTAAAATGAACTGAAACTTTAAGCATAATTTATACATTTTTTATTCCTTCCTCCTCACCCTTCATTTAGTTCCAGTGATGAGTCAAACTAGTAATATATCTGCATCAAACCAAATCTCAAGGATTAAGAGCTGAAGCTAGTGGTGTTGCATTGTTCCCCACTCAGGAGCTAGAACATCTGAGAGGGAGGAACAAGACTGGTAATAAAGTTGTCAACAGACAGCATCTTAAGATTACTTCTCCTGGGGCTGGAGAGATGAAAGCAGTTAAGAACACCCACTGTTCTTCCAGTGGTCCTGAGTTCAATTCCCAGCAACCACATGGTGGCTCACAACCATCTGCAGTGGGATCTGATGCCCTCTTTCTGGCATAAGGTCATACATGCAGATAGAGCACTCACGCATTAAATAAATCTTTAAAAAAAAAAAATATTTCTCCCAAGAGGCTTCCAAGACACTCTTTAGATAAGTTAGTCAAAACTGATTTGCACCATCAAGAATGCTAATATATATTTGTTCCCCACCCCATACTAGTTTTGTGTGGTTGTCTTTTCTCAACTCTCTTCAGCCAAGTGGAAATTAGGTGTGCCTATGATTTAATACCCGTGCTATGTCCCCAGCATATCC